CCAAGCATCGCCCGGCACAAACCGCTAACACTGGTACCCCTAAAACGAAGCACAGACACGCTTGAAATTTTCATCCAGGGGTTCCTTGCACACCCAAATGGCTGCAGCCAGAAGCCCCCCGCCCACCCACCCAAAACGAGGGAATAATTCCTGCAAAATTTTCCTCCTCGTGACTTTTCTCATCCACCTGGACGATGCTTAGGGCAAGACGGAGCTTAAGGGAGTTCTTCCTTAGGCCAATGGCCATCCCACTCTGGACGTGAATGAAGAGCTGGCCTCTTGGGACGTCTCCGCTTCTCGCTTCTTCGACAGAGCCCGGTGGCTAATCCGAGAGAAGAGATTTTTAAGGGATTTGTCACTCAACACCTTTCTCCCCAAACTCACACCTCCACACAACCTCACTTTTTGGAATGGCATCGCCCTCAACCAGCCAGTTTATTATTATTATTAATAATAATATTTTTTTCTGGAGAAAGGAGTAGCAGCCACGGAGGAGGAAGGGATGCAGAATATAATGTGAACTTGGGAGAATCGGCTTTGAAGACGAAACGTCAATGGCAAAGGCTGGGTTGAGGACCCACCCAGAGTAAGATCCTGGCCAGGTGTCTTTGCCCTCTACCTGCCGGAGGCCACCTGTCTTTGCTGTTTCCTCTCCTCCCACAGTCCTTCCAGGGTGGCCTTGTTTTTCATCGTCCGGCCTGGATCTATTTGGTGGAGACTTGGACCTCGGACGATTCGTCCCGGTGCCCAAAATGGATTTGATTTTTATTTTATTTTTTTCCTGCCAAGAACATCGACCAATAAAACTCACTCGCATTCAAAAAGACTGTTGAATTGGCTTTTGCTTCGATTTGAGCTGGGTGGGCTACTATTATCCCCTGAGCTGTAGCCAAGGGTCAGCCCTTTAAAAGAAAAGAAAAAATGGAAGGGAAGGGGTGTAATTTAACTCCTCAGGCCCAGCCTGGATTTCCTTAGGCTGGGAAGGCCTGGGAGCTTGGGAACTAACCGAGGACTGCATATTTAAAATCCTAGGGCAAGTGTGCGCGCCCAGATAATAATATATAAGTAGTCCTCAACTTAGTGACCATTCAAATAATATTTAAGTAGTCCTCAATTTAGTGACCATTCAAATAATATTTAAGTAGTCCTCAATTTAGTGACCGAAGTTAACGGCACTGAAAAAAGGGACTTAACCTTTTTTTCACATTTTATGGCTCTTTTGGCATCCCAGATCAGCTGTTCTGAGCTCTGCTTGGCATCACAAGAGTTTTCCTTCTGGGGTTAATCATTCATGGCTGGCTGGGGTGATTTTTCTTTCTTTTTTTAAACCAATCCTTCCCCTGCAGCCCTGCCAAAAATTAGCCCCCCCATTTTTGGACATGATTCACTTCCCTCTCACTTTTCTTAGCATCGGAAATTCTGGTCATAAGTTTTCCGTTGCAAATACATATGTGCGAAGTTTGTAATTGTTTCCTTCCTAATTTCCCACCTTTCTTTTCTAAAATAAATCCACACTGAATGTGCACAAACTGTAGCTCAAGCCTTCGCTCGCTTTCAAATGGAAGCACTTTATTTGATTGAATTCTGTCTCCAGAAATAAAATGAGTCAAAAACACTAGAACTCGGATTTTCTTTACACCGTTTTTTTTTTTCCCAGCTAGGAAAATCATACATACATACAAGACATTTAAGTCGCCACCAAAAAACCTACATAAAAAGAATCCAGTGCCTTACAGAAGTAAACAATTTTTTAAAAAAATGAAAAAAAAAACACAAAAAAGTGCTCTGACGTTTTTTGTTAAAATATAATTTGGCGGTTTTTTTTTTTCTTTAAATCTTTTTGACACTTCAAGCATGAGAAGGAAGGATGCGAAGTACGCAGAACCTTTGAAAAATACTCAGCGTTAAAACACATTTTCAGTAAATATTTGTTTTTAATCTCTCATCTATTTACAGATGGTAAGAAAGGGCATTAGCAAGAGTAGAGAATGAGTTGAGAGGCCAGGATAATCTTGTCTTTTTAGTCTGATCCTAACCGAGGAGGAAAAAAAAAACTTTTTAAAGAAACTGGTTGCGTTACTTAATCTACTTCAAATTCATACCTCTAAGGCCCTTCATCAAAATTCCATGCACGCTTTTTAAGCGTAGATGAAACTTTTCAATATATAGGGATCAAGGGACAATATTCTGAATCAGGAAGATTTTGAAAACATTTCTCTTAAATTTATTATGCAATATTCTCAGCTACTCTTTGGCACAAGTGCAGGGAGAAAATAAGATACTCTTTGCTTCGGTATTTCGTAACACAAAAGCTTGTTTATTCCGTCCTTTGTAAGGACTCCGAGATCATAGCTAAGCAAACAAAATAAAGTTGGATCTAACCCGAGTTTCCTGGGACTAAATATTTATAATGATTTCCCCTCTACCCTTCATTACCCCTGATTACCCTTATTACCCATGATTACCATTTTTAATGATAATTATTCGTATGAGCTCAATCACATGAATCGTGGTTAATGCATAGAGTTTCACCTCACAGCATTTTACATAGACGTCGCATATAATTATTATACAGGGTTTGTTCTGATGAAGATGAATGCCATCCTTCAGGTCGCTGTGGCTTCGATGCTAACGCATGTGTTGCGTAGTCGCGACAAATATGTACGAAAGTTTCTGGGGTGAAATTTTTTTTTAAAAAAATCAAAATAAGCCTTCCAAATCAAAACACATATTGGGATTCAAAACTACAGGTTTTGGCACCATGATTTCCTAAGTATTTTTCCCCCAGCTATTTTTTTTTTTTGTGGGGGGGAGAAGGTGGCTAAGGGTTGAGAAGCAAAATTCCCTGCAACCAAAAAATAGAATTAAAATTTAAGGGAAGGTAACAATTCTCTTTATTTCTCTACTGTTGCATGAAAAATAAGCATTTTAAAGAAAACAAGTCTTAGGCATTTACTCCTATTCCAGGGTTGAAAAAAAATGGATAATTTTCCCTTCCTCTATGTTAGGGGTCTTCGAACTTGACAGCTTTAAGACTTGTTGGACTTCAACTCCCAGAATTCCTCCTCCAATCATGTTAGCTCAGGAATTCTGGGAGTTGAAGTCCACAAGTCTTAAACTTGCCAAGTTTGAAGACCCTTGCTCTCTGTTTTAAACAACTTCTTTTTTCCCCCAAATTAAACCCATGTCATCTCAAAGTTTGCAGATATGCTTAGCTGGACATTTGATAACCAACCTGGCAGTGATCTCCCTAATTTCATGATGGCACAGCTTGTGTTGTTTTTATTTTTTTCAGTCTTAGCACCTAGATAAAAAAGGAGATTGAACCCCTGCATCAATAGCAACCTTGGTTTGTGGAAAACAAACTACAGTTGGGTTTATCTATCTATCTGCGTGGATGTTCCAGATCTGATAAACATGAAGCCTACAAGAAGCATTTTTTAAATTTTATTTTTTGGGAAAATAGCCCTAACCCTTTTCTAAGGACGCCAGATTTGGGAAAGGAGAACAAAAATCGGGAATTTTTAATTAAAGCAGGATGTTTATTTTGGAGAAGCCCAGGTGCCAAAGATCTCTTGCCTTCCTGGGCTACAGAGAAAGAAGAATTTCAGGTTATTTTCATGATGTTACTTTTATTTTATTTTGCTTTGGGCTTTCTCAAACTTTCCCTGCGGGGTAGGAAACCTGGAAGGGTAGTCTGCCTTCTGCTCCGGGGAAATTGAGGTGTGGGTTTAGCCTGGTCCACCAGGATAACAATTTTGGAGAAAAAAAATGCTTAATTTCCATGCTTGTACCCAGGCAGGTACGCAAGTACACTGCAGGTTGAGAGCTGTTTCGACTGTGCCTTTTCCCTCCCCAATCTCTGATCCCCACAGGTAGACTGTCCCCAATAGTGGAGGCTCAATTTAGTTCCCTGGGCTTGTGGTCACTCAATCCTCAGCAAATCCAATCTGGTCATTCCTAGCTGGCTGAGGTTTGTAGCAGTCAAAGTTTCACTTTCCTTCCACCATGATATTGTAATGGCAAGGAGGATGCAGAAAGAGTTATAATGGTGCAGTTATATCCACCAATGGACATTGATCGTCCGCTCGTATTAAACTGCCTGGAGGGTGTTTCCAATGTCCACTTCAGCTTCCAACTCTCCACTTCCTTGCTTACAACCTTCTCCATCCCCAAAAACGTCAGGAAAATTCAAGTTTTCTCGGCTATGCTTTAATGTAGGCAGGGAATCCTGCAAAATTCCTTGAAAATCAGTTCCAGCCCATCGGTTTCACCTCTTTGGATGGAGAAATGAGATTTCACCATCCTCCACCTTGGAAAGATTGCTGTGTCTTTCCAATCGGGCTGCAGGCACAGCTAACTTGAAGCTGCAATCTGGGGCTACCCCAGCCCCCTTTCCAAAGTGCAGCGCCTCCTGAGAAGAGGCGAGTTCGAAATTGGCAGTCTCTCGAACTTGGCACAGCAATAACCTTCGCCAGTCTGCTACAAGCTCCAGGTTTTTTTTGTGTTTTTTTTGAGAAGGATTTTAAGTCTTCCAGGACGCTGATCAAGCCACAACTTCGCCGTGATGGCATAGCCCCCAAAACAGAGTTAAAAACTGGGGTGGAACTTGAGAGCAGATGAGAGCCGAGAAGGGCAGGAATCACAGTGAAATTTGGCTGGCATGGATGACGGAACCCGAGGGCTGGAAGGGGACCCTGAAGGTCCTCCAGTCCAGCCCCCTGGTCCAACGTAGGAGCCCACAAGCAGGATGGGGTCGGGAAAAGCTGAAATAAATAAATGTGGCGATGGCCATGCGAGAGAAAAGGGATGGGGGAGGTGGATTTAGAGAGGCGCCATGCAAAATAATTTAATAAATTAAAAGAACAAGAAGGAGATGTAAACAGGGGCTTAAAAATAACCCAGAGAGGACAGAAGAGTGAACAAACAGGCTGAAAGGAGAAAGAAATCAAGATTGGCATGAAAGATATTGGGTGACTAAAGGAATATTAGTGAAATAAAAGCCATGCAAGTGAGCAAACAGATCCCTGGGAATGTCGGCCAGGCCAGTGGCATCCTGCGATTGGCAAACCAGCTTAGCCAGCCCAGCAGAGCTTCCCAGTTGGCAAGGCAAGGCAGATAGGTTCAAGGTCATGGGGGCAGCCAGGTTTTCTTGGGCCATGGCTCCCAAAACTCATCGGCCAACATCTGGGCTGGCTTGAGAATTCTGGGAGTTGAAGTGCATCTGCTCTTAAAGCCACCGAGGTGGAGAAAACCGGCAGATCAGATCATTCCTTGGTTGACCTCGTGGGAGGAGGGAAAATATCCCTAATTCTTAGTAAGAGGATGAATGGGATCTGTTATCCATAGGCACTTCCTAAAATGGAAATCTGAATTCCTTCCTGCAGGAGAACTGCAGACCAAGTCATGGCTTGTTGTTGTTTTTTTAGCGGAGGCGAGACTTGGAACTGAAGTCCTGGTGAACACCACGGGTACCCAAAGATCCCTTGGATTTGGCCATCTCAGCAGCTTCAAACCAGGACCTCTGCACCTCTTTCTGCAAGTTTTCAGGCTCTATGAAACTGCTTGAACCCGGGACCAAAACAGGGCGTTTCTGAACATCCTTGGTCTAGGCAAGAGCACCCCTTGGGCTCACCGTGAATTGCCAAACTCTGCAGCTTCGTCCCGCTAAGACTGGATTTCAATAAGCCTTGGTCGAGACCATGGTTATGGAGACACTTTGCACTAAACCATGGCTGGGAGACTTCTCCACTAACCCTGGACCAAGCCAGACCATTAGTTCTTAGCATGATGCAAATCCGCCTTGAAGAGCAAGGCGTGGCTTGGCAGTAACGCCCGTCCAATTAGGAGTGATTTGGGGTGATCTCAAGGCCACCAAGGAGCCACCCTTGGCCAAAAGAGGTATCTTCTATCACTCTACGTGAATCTCTGCTCTAGAAGCCTGTTCTCCTTCCAATGAACCTCCTCTGGGTGTGATAGATAGATGGAATGAGTGAAAGGAGAAATAGGGTCCTTCCATCACACCGTGGTGCGAGTCACACCAAACACAACCACTCACCCAACTAAAAGGGGACGTCCTTTGCATTCTTCCCTGGGGAAAGCCAGACCAGAAGCACCTTGCCCAACCTCTTCAGGAAAGTCTTCTCCACCCTAGGGTCTTCAAGAAGGGTTGGCCAGCCTAGCCAATGTGGGATGGAAGTCATCTTCTCAACGCAGCTAAGAGGTCCTATGGACTCCCGATAGGAAACGTTTCCTATCTCCTGCTCTAAGCACCATGGGAAATCTTTTCAGCTCCTCCATTTCCTCCTCACGCAACCAGGGTGCAAAGCCAGCCCCTCTTAGCCAAAGACCAATAGATCTGCTAGATTAAAACAAACATTATTTGAGCCTTAAGGCCCATGAATCAACTGTGGATCGAACTTACAATGTCAGACTTCATGACAAATCCTAAATTCTACCTAGCGGTGAGACCCTCCATCCAACGCCTTGGCTTCGAAGACCCCAGCTAGGGAAGTCTTCCCTGTTTCTCATCTTCTGTGTGGGAGAAATGAAGGCCTATTTGCGAAATCCTTTGAGGGGCGAGGAGGAAAGGGGCGAGGGAGGGCAATGGTTGATCAAGGCCCGATTCCATCCCATCCCTGGAGGAAGGAGAGAGGCGATCCCCACAGTTTGGATCTGGTAAGCAGCGGTGGAAACCCAGCCAATTGGTGGATTCATTGGTGCCACAGCTCAAAGGCAGGTGAACGTGAGAGGCAATGAAGGATGAGCTTGAAGGACAGTTTCAGGCGGGTGCTTTAATTCTCCTTCCTCGAGGCCTGAATTCTCCCTTTCATCCCAAACTCGCCAAACGGCCAGAAGTGGTTTCAAAATAATCATAAAATCCGATCGTCCGTTTCTTTTCCTTGGGTGCCCAGCTTGTCCCGAGGCTCTTGTGACAGCAAGTGACATTTCTGTTTCTTTTTTCTTTAGGAATCTATAAAATAAAATAAAATGCAAACGATAAAGAGTAGCAGGGAAAGAAGAAATGGACAGGCAGTCCTTGACTTACAAGAGATCATTTAGTGTCCATTCCAAGTTGTTAGCGGCGCTGGAAAAGGGGGAGTTTTTGACCATTTTTCACGCTTACGACTGTGGCAGAATGGCCACGTGATCAAAATTCGGACCCTTGGCTCGTCTTTACGACGGTCGCAGTGTCCCAAGGGAGGGGGGGGGCTCACATGATCCTCTTTTTGCGTCCTTCTGACAAGCAAAGCCAACAGAGAAGGCAGGTTCACTTAACAACAGTGTGACTGATTTAACCGCTGCGGGGATTCACTTAACGACGGTGGCGAGGAATGTCCTAAAATGGGGCAAAACTCACTCAACAACAGCTTAGCAACAGACGTTTTTGGACTCGACTGTGGTCATGAATTGAGGACTACACGTATAAGCCACGTTACCTTTGGCGTTCTTCTCCAAAAAGACCTCGACGTAAGAAGTGGGGACGTAGCCTTCCTCATCCTCGTTCCTCCGGATGCGAGTCCACCCGTCTCCTTTGTCTTCCTCTATGACATACAAGGTTTCTCCTTCCGTCACAGAAATGGTTCCTTCATTCTGTCCTGGAAGGGATAGGTTGAGGTGTGTTAGTACAGGTAATCCAAAAGAAAGAAAGAAAAAACACTGCCCCAGGGCTAGTCCTGCCTGTTAAGAGAGCAGAAAATTACAGGCCATAGTACTTAAAGCTTACATACCGCTTCACAGTGCTTTATAGCCCTCTCTAAGTGGTTGACAGACTCAACCTGGGTCCTCGTTTTACCAAAACCCTGAGAACATTCTCCCAATCTGTTTCTATATAGAGGGAGCAAACGCCACTCCTTCTAGCACTGATGACGTTGCCTAGTTGGGTCATGAAACGTCTGCAAGGAAACCACCCAGCTCAGGGAGCACCAAGGACCCCAAAATCCTCCTCCTCCTCCTCCTCTTCCTCCTCCCTGCAAACCTCACTCCCTTCTAGCACTGATGACGTTGCCTAGTTGGGTCATGAAACGTCTCCAAGGAAACCACCCAGTTCAGGGAGCACCAAGGACCCCACAATTCTCCTCCACCACCACCACCACCACCTCCTCCTCCTCCTCCTCCTCCTCCTCCCTGCAAATCTCACTCCCTTCTAGCACTGATGACGTTCCCTAGTTGGTTCATGAAATGCCTGCAAGGAAACCACCCAGCTTAGAGAGCCCACAGTTCAACCTTGGAACTACAAATATTCATTATTATTATTGTTGTTGTTGTTGTTATCAGAGGCCCCTTGGTCCTTGGCCCTCCCACAGCTGCAACCAAGAGGAAGACATCCAGATGTTGAAGGTAGAAACCCCCATCTCCGCCCCTGTACATTTTTGCAAAGCCAGCCCAGGGCGTGCTGGAATCTTTCACCAGAAGCTTCTGGGTCCTGTTTGGAGAACTCCACCCCCACACACACACATTTACCTTCAAAGGTGTAGAGAGCCTTGCAGGTACCAATGGTGGGTAGGGGCTCCTCATCGTCAAATTCATCGTCGAATTCGGTCGTCGGCGTTTTCATCTCACTCTCCTGGCTGGGTTCCTCTGTGTAACCGCCATCGGGACTGCTCAAGACAGGAAAAGGAAAAGAGAAGGCAACCACTATAGCAACCTTTCAGGTCGGCTGGAGAGAAGAAGGGGAGGAGACGCTGCCCCCCTCGCCCTGCCCTTCCACCTGGGTCTCCGCCGGGAAATTCTGCCCTCAGGGGCCTTGAAAAATAGGCGGCTTCCCTATTGGGAAAACACTTGAGTCAGAATAACAGAGTTGGCAGGGACCTTGGAGGTCCTCTAGTCCAACCCCTGCTCAAGCAAGACACCCAATGCCATTTTAGACAAATGGCCACCCAGTCTCTTCTTGAAAACCTCCAGCGATGGCGCACCCACAATTTCTTGCAGGCAAGTCCTTCTATGGATTCATTGTTCTCGCTGCCAAGAAATTTCTCCTTAGTTCTAGGTTGGATCTCTCTTTCGTGATCTTCCATCCATTGCTTCTTGTCCTGCCCTCTGGTGCTTTGGAAAATAGGTCAGCTTCCTCTTCTCTGTGACAGCCCCACAAATATTAGAAAACTGCTATTGTGTCACCCCTTAAACTGGACATACCCAATTCTTTCAACCGTCCTTCGTATGTTTGTTCCTCCAGTCCCCTAATCCTCTTTCTAGAATCTCAGTCAGAGTTTTGTTCGGTATAGCATCAACCGTGCAAACTCTCAAGTTTTCTCTTTCTGCTACGCACTCAAAATGGACAGGAATTAGCGTGTGTGTGTGAGTCTGTATAATGTTTATATGTGTGTTATATATGTGTATGGATAGATATATACTTTCTTTTCAGAGCAGGCAACAGAACTTTTAATGTGTGCCGGGGTGCTCACAGTAAAAAATGATCATAAAGGCCATCATCTCAATCTATTCTTAATCCTTTAAACCTTTGCAACATAACCTGGTCCCTTTTGATCTCGGCACCCATGTAGGGTGAGAGTCAGCCTGCATTGGTTCCCCCAGAAATCTCAGAGGAAATTAAACCGGAGATTGGATCCAGATTCAAATCGGCTTTCAGGCATGGGAACTCTCTAGGAACCTCTGGGCCAGTCACTCTCCGCTCAGCCTACCTCTCAGGGTTGTTGTTCCTGTAGAGGTAGAACTGGAGGAGAGAAAGGTGCATCAGAAATCATGGGTCAAAGCGAGGTGAGGGCTGCACCGGCATTGAGGTTGCAAGATTGGCATCTGAGAGCGTCCTGGCACCAGAACTTTGCCCAACAGGGATTCTCCAGCACAGTACAGGTACTGTACCTCTCTCGGTCCTGGACACAGTTTGTGACGGTCAAGGTGTTACTCTGGGGCTCGTACGCTCCACTCTGGCGGCGCATCACCTCTGTTCGGACAGGTAACCGACCTTCCACCTCCGCTAACCAGCCCTGAAGCAGAGAAGGAGGGAAAATGAAGGACTTGAATGGTCTGTGGGGATGGCCTTGGGAGACCGGAGGAAGAATTGCAGACCAGATAAAAGGAGCTCAGCCCAGAGATGGGAAAGGGGCGGTGAGAAGCAACTTGGAAGTTTTCCAGAGTGTTAAGAGGAAAGGAAAGGAGAGATGCTTTCAGTCTTGAAAGATTCTGTGGATGTGATCTGACAATACAGAGAGAGTTGGGTTTCTTTTCTGGACTAACTTGCACAGTAAATGGGGGATACTTCAGCATCTTGGAAAAACCATCTGGATTTGACCAAGCAGTGTCCCCATATGATGCCCAGCTCAATAGGCTGAGACTACAGTTCCCAGAATCCATAGTACGCTGTACTGGCTATGGATTTGGGAATTTGCCACCCTAGCACATCTGGGCGGCACCTGCTCAGAAAGTCTTCTCTAAACTCAGGACTTTTCAATTTCAGCAATTTTAAGAGGTTAAGGACTTTCTGTTCCCGGAATTCTACACTGACTCATTTTCAAGCCTACTGGATGGGGGATTCTGGGAGTTGAAGTCCACCCATCTTAAAGCAGCCTGCCTGGGGGATTCTGGGAATCGAAGTCTACCCGTCTTAAAGTTGCTGAGCAGAGAAACACTTAGCTAATGCTTTGTTAACTCCCTACCTCAAATTTTTGTACTTCCAGCCTCAGCTTCTCCAAGTTTTGACCGAGTTCAGCTAACTTAAGGTCCACGCTGGCTGCATCCCCCATTTGAGGGTTCTTGATGTAGACATCTTTCATTTTCGTTAAGGCCTCTCTGCGAAGGAAGAGGGAAGAACCATCATCAACCAGGAGCTTAGAACCGTTCTCAGCATCTTTTCAGACCTTGGAGTAGGTGAGCAGCGACTGTATTAGTCCATTTAGAGCCTGTATATCCCCATGACCAGAAACTGTTCTTTTATTTCTAACAATTATCTTATGAACCGCAGAAAGGTTTCTTCACCAATAATGGGAGGATGCTGGACGATCAAAATTTTTACCCGTTTTTGAAACCGGTGTTTGCATTTAATCTGCAAAAATGGGAGCTGGGAAAAGCACTCAGCATTTGTACTTTGGCTACAGAATAACTGAGCTGGAAGGGACCTTGGAGGTCTTCTAGTCCAACCCCTTACTCAAGCAGGAGTCCCTATATTTATTCCAAATAAAGGGCTGTCCAACCTCATCTTGACAACCTCCAAGAATAGAGCTCTTACAACTTCTGGAGGCCAGTCGTTCCACTGATTAATTGTTTTCACTGTTTCAAAGTTTTCACACCAAAAACTTCCTACTTAATTCCAGGTTGCTTCTCTCCTTGATAAGTTTCCATCCATTGCTTCTTTTCCTGCCTCTCAGGTGCTTTGGAGAATAGCTTGACTCCCTCTTCTTTGGGGCAGCCCCTCAACTATTGGAAGATGCTATCCCGTCTTTCTTTTCACTAGACCAGACATACCCAATTCCTGCAACCGGTCTTCGTACGTTTTAGCTTCCAGTCCCCTAATCCTCTCTGTGGCTCTTTTCTGCCCTCTTTCTATAACCTCAACATCTATTTTTTTTTTGCTATCGTTTGATCTACCTCTGATCCAGCTCTTTCTGAATATCCTTGTTGATTTCATCCACTTTCTGCTGCAGTTTCTTTCTCCGTTGCTCCGGGGGAAGATTGCTATAATCTTCTGGTCCTCCGCCCTGATTGTTGCAGGAAGATGAAAAAAAAAAAAAAGGAGGAAAAGGGGAAAAGTGAAAACTCTCGATCGTGATGAATTCCCATTAGACTCGAGAATTTTATTTATCTGCTTGTACGGCAATATTCTGACCCAATTAGCTACCAAAAAGTGCTATCTTGGCTAACTTAAACGCAGGGAGTTCCCGTGCCCTCTTGTAAGATACAAACATCTCTCTAAAAAAATTAATAAATAAGGGCGGGGCGGGGGGGGGGGCGGAACCTGGAAGCATCTTTCAATGAATAGCTAATTTTACTAAAAGGCTTAAACCCGCAGCTCCCTTCGTCGGATGCACAGAATGACTAGGTTAATCCAAGGTTTAAATTAGGTGGAGGTTGGGTGAGAAACGGAAAAAGGAAAATTGGTTTGTAATCGACGAAGGGAGCTGCCTCCGACAAAAGCTTCATTTAATTTGATTTACGCAACCAACTTCGTAAGTTGTTGGAAAAAAATGCTACCAAACTTCTGTTTTTTTCTTTTTTCCCCTAACTTGAACTAACGCTTAGGGCACTTCGCGTGGGGAAGAATCTATGAATGGCCGCTTCAAACAGTCACTAAACGGGTCGTAATTCAGAGGACTACCTCCACAGTAGGTGAAGGCGTGGTTGAAAAGAGGTAGAAGTGGAATCGCCAATTTACACAACCATCAGGGTCAGATTAAGCAGGAATTGAGCTATTTTCTGGAAGGGAGAGAGTTCGTCAGGAGGTGGATTAAAACACGGACTGGGGATAAGATGGGAGTTTTGTAAACCTCAGTGGAAATGTGGTTTTGGATTTCCGGGTAGAAGATCTGCTTTATTTTACTTTTCACCTACTTTTCCTGCATGTTTCATTCCAACCCGAAAAGAAAACCAGCCTGTTCATTTAATATTTCTTTTTTTTTTTTAATCATCCCTCCGATGAAAGGAAGAGTGTTCCCCCCCGTTCTGCCGTATTGCTTTGAATTTTCTCGTGCGGAATTGAAGCCCTTCTGGCTAGGAAGGCTTTATGCAGGGTCTCTGGAGGATTGTTGTGGTTGTTCAACCCAGCTCACAAAATGCAAGGGAAGCATCATTTGAAGAGCTGAAGTGGATTGGCTCCAACTTATCTGCAGATGCTTATCCCGTTGATAAGCCCGTGGAATCAACTGTCTTGAGTTTGACTGGATGGATCTATCAACCTCCTCAACTGCCTCCAAATACTCCACGTAGGTTTCTCAATCCAACCACCTCCAACCCTGACCAAAATTGCAGGGCATTAAATACCCTATTGAAATACCTAGCTGGTAAGTTACAGTTAGTCCTTTGGCAACCATTACAGTTTTACACTTACGATCTTCGCAGGCTCCTCACCTTCCTGTGATCAAAATTGAGGTGCTTGACTCACCCTTAACAACGGTTGCGGTGCCTTTGGGAGGTCACGCAATAACTTTTTGCAAACTTCTGATGAGTAGAGTCAATGGGGAAGCCAGATTCATTTAACACAGGGGGTCCCCAAACTTGGCCACTTTAAGACTTGTGGATTTCCACTCCCAGAATTGACGTCTACAAGTCTTAAAGTGCCCGTGTTTGGGGACCCCCTGATTTAACAACGGTGTCACTAAACAGCTGCAGTGACCCACTTAACAAGGGTGTCAAGAAAGGTCATAAGATGGGGCAAAACTCCCTCAGCAACTGTCTCGCTTAGCGACGGAAACATTGGGGCTCCGTTGTGATTGTAAATTGAGCACCAAACCTAACCCACCAACGTGTTCACCGTGAAGCTATCTGAGTTAGCCCTTCTCTTTTGAGCTGGAACGTACAAGGTGAGCCTCCAACGAACAATCCCTTTGTTGCCAGCCCCGTTTTTTGGAATGAAATGGAGTTATTCTTTTAAAATGGTTTGGTTGAAAGTTGCTGGGAAGGGATTAAAAAGCGTTAGTTTGAGCAACTTTTGCGCGAAAGGCTGAAAAACGTAGTTGGCTAGCAAACCACGACAAGTGGATGCCCAAGATGGCGACCGCATCTGCTGGTCCCAGTTATTGTGATTAACGTTGAACTCAGTGAAGGACAGAGAAGGCTATGCAAAGATTTATATCAAGGATGATCAATGTATATATTTATTAAGAAAATTCTCTTAACCCAGACTTTCCATCCCGCAGTGAAGAACCTCTCCAAGGCTGCTATCCTGTCCCACTGCATATACACTGTATAATGCTCAGCTTAGTTACAATGGTGCTGAAAATATAACCAATCCTCACACTTATGACAGTACACAGAACCCCTGAAGCCATGGGAGCAAAATTTGGGCTCTTGGGCAACAGGTATGTATTTATGATAGGTGCAGAGTCCAGGTCATTTGAGTGACAGTGATATGATACTATGAAAGCCTCACCCTGCGAATTCTTCTTAAAGGCAATTTTACTCAATAAGAGTCAAATTTACAAATTTGAAGGGGAAAAAAAGTGTGATTTTTTTAAAAAAGGTCATATTTTATCTGCTCATTTAACTTGCCGAAGACTTCTAGATATAGGTGGCTTAAAGATTTCTACAAAACTGCGTGATGAACCTGCTTGTGAGGAATTAAAATAGAATGGTTGTAAAATTCAGAATGATTCACTTAATGACCACCTTGCTTAGCAACGGAAGTTCTAGTTGTAAATCGAGGACTATCTTTACCAGCCATGGACAATGCAGAAGTTTTGCGCTGCCTTGCCGGCCAGCCCCAACAGCCTGATATTCCATTACACGGGTATCAAATATTGCGTTTTTTTTCTGGACAGCTGGCCGCTTCAGCTAGGAGGAAAACCTTTTAGCAGTGAAAGTGATACCACATATTTTATTTTGGGGGGAAAAAAATTAGCAGATGGATGTTTTCAGTACCTTGCCAATTTAGGATAATGACTGATTCCTTTGTAATTTGTAATTAGGATAGCAAACCTTTAACTAATACAATATTCTTGGAATTTGCAAAGAACCCTGTGCAACTTCAGAAACTTGCTATCCTAACTCTCCTTTAATTTGGGAGCATAGGTAAAAAAAATTGGCCAGACTTTTCTCTGTTGTTTATTGAGTTCAACACTTTGTTTTCTTCATTCTCTCCACCTATAGATGGAGGAAAGGGTATTTTTAACCCAAATTAAATTATTTTAAATCTGTTTCAAGGCCATCTGTCAGTTCAGAATGACAAGCCTATTATTTACGTTTTTACAGCCTGCATCACGTGGCTTTCTAAAAGCCATCTAATTCAACTGAAACACTACAAGTTAATTCTTAGTAGTTCATTAGCAGCATCAAAATGGGATCACCTCCATTAAATTCCAGACCTGCATATTCAAAGTTATCTGATAAAGGCCAAAAGAAAAGAAAAAATAAATAAACACTCACAAACACACGCGAAAACACACACACACCCAAAGACAACAGGAAAAAAAATAGTCATTTTTCAACATGGCTGTTTGGATAAGCTACATAAGTCACACACATATAAAATTGTGATTTTTAAAATATATGTATAGAAATACATGCTGGGATGGTGCTTACCAGCTTCAGGGAAAGCTTCGCATTAAAACGGAGAAGGACGGAGAAAGGGAAAAAAAAGAGAGAGAGAAAGAAAAGAACGTATCAGAAAAAGAAGGCTAAGCTTGAAATGGCGTCTAATAAAATGATGCGAATGAACCGGACACACACACAAAGTCTGCTCAGCTTGTGCAAATGGACACTGCTTTCCACACAACTTTGCAAAGGTTCACAAGATCGTAAAGGGGCAAAAAAAAATACTGCTTTGGTCTCCCCATTGCCCGAAGATACAAATTCAGGGTTGTTGTTTTTTAAAAAATATCCTTCCTCTTCCATGCTAACTGACTTCTTCTGCAAAAAAAATAAAAGGTGACTTAAGAACTGATGAATAATGCAAAGTCAACTCCTTTTTAGACCTCTTTACTTTTTTAAAAGTTTGCCAACTTTTTAAATGTAATCATTAGGATTGTGTTGGTTGCTTCCAAGTATGATTTGTAACCATTTTGATGTTTTTATGGCTTTAATTATTGGGGTCTGGTTTGCTGGCCAGAGTGATCTGGATTGAGATGGGCAGCTATAGAAATTGAATAAATAAAATAAGAAAGAAGAGGGAGGGAGGGAAGGAAGGAAGGAATGGACAAAGAGGGAGGGAGGGAAAGAAGAAGGGAGGGAGAGAGGAAGAAAGGAAGGAGACAAAGGGAAAGGAGGAAGGGAAGGAAGGGGAAAGGGAAAGGGAAAGGATGGAGGGAGGGAGAGGAAAAAAGGAATTGAGAGAAGGAGGGAGGGTAAGAAGGGAAGGGGGAAAAAGATACATAGAAAGAAAAAGAAAAGAAAAAGAAAGAAAGAAAGAAAGAAAGAAAGATAGATAGATAGATAGATAGATAGATAGATAGATAGATAGATAGATAGATAGATAGATAGATGGGGTGAAAGTGGCAGTGAGAACTGTTTAATTGCCTTTCTTTCTGTCCAGAAGCTTGAAAAAAAAGTATTTAGCTTCTAGGCAGAAAGGAAGGAAATTAAACTTCTCAATATCTCTTATTCCTTCCAATTTCCTTTACAATGCTATTCTGCACATTTCCAGTTTGAGCATTGGGGCGTTCAAAACTGGAGTTTGGTGCACAGTGGGAAAAAAAAAGGAAAAGAAAATTTGAGGGGGAGACCTCAAAAGAATTTAAGTTCTTCTAACCCACCTCAAACTACAACAAAGCTGTCCTTTAAACAAATAAACAAAAAACCTATTCTCCCAAATTGTAAACAAGAACGTAAATAAGAATTTGTATTAATTGAGAGCCAAAATACCTCAATAGAATGTACAGATATAAACTAAAAGTTTAGTCTTAGATGAAACAAAAATAAATGGCTTGTTATTACATTAAAAAAATTAAAATTCCACCTTAATGATGTGTTACCAAAGACTTTGCTTTAACAGCCACTGTTCAAAACAGTGCAATTTTAGGGTTTTTAATCTGCCAGTAAAAACCTTTTAACAGACTCAGAAATATGGCTTCCTGTCTCGGATTTTAAAACAGGTCAAATAATATCCTGCTGAAATGTCTAAAAATAAATGCTGGGAGTAAACCAAACTCTAAAAATAAACAAACCTTTTCTCTGCATATAATGAGCTAGCACATCAGCGTATTTTAATTTATCCAAGTTTATCAGAATGGTAAATAAATAATAATAATAATTAAAAAAACAGACCAAGCTGGAAACCTATACATCTACCTGAGTCTCTTCTGGATGTTATCTTGTTGTTCTGGACTTAAAAACGGCTTTAACCCCCTTTTCCTTAGGGAACAATTCTTACATATTTCCACCCAGATAATTTCTCTATCTTTCTACACTCCACCAGAACTCCAATTTTATATGCAGCTTTTCCTCAAATTTCACTTCCCCGCGAATTGGTCAAGAAGATAAAAAGCGTTGAGAACTGGTTTCGTTAAGGGTGAGGTGCTGGACTAGGAACTGGGAATTGTAGTCTCCTCTTAAGATCTGGAGGAAGATCTACCTCCTAGGGGTGTGAGAGCAAAACAGGAGGGTGCGTTATGTTTGCTGGATTGAATTGTGCCAATTTAAGGGGCCACGTAAATTTAAGTAACGCAAGTCAGCCACGTAGGACCAATGAGTTCTAGTCCTGTCTTAGGCATGGAAGCCGGCTGGATGACTTTGGGCCAATCACCAGGAGGTGATAAGTTCTAGATCCAGATTAGTCATGAAAGCCAACTGGGTGACTTTGGCCCAATCACCAGGAGACGGTGAGTTCGAATCCCGCCTTAGGCATGAAAGCCGACTGAGTGACTTTGGTCCAGTTCCTCTCTCTCAGCCCAGCCTATCTCACAGGGTCGTTGTTGTGGAAGAAAGAGGAGGAAGGAGGAGGCTTAGATATGTTTGCTATCTTGAGTTGTTGGTAAACTAATAATAAAGGCGGGACATAAATAATAAATTAAACCACCTCAGGCGTGGATCCATTCCCCTAGTGTTTCCAACCCCAAGTGGCAACCTGCAACGTAAGCTTATCAGCTTTTTCCCCCTCGCACTTACCTGAAACCCACCCCAAGATGGTTGAACCCCTCTGCAAAACGCTGCAGCATTTTGCATTAAAAGAAAAAAGGAATAAACGCAATCAACGTCTTGCAGAAGATCGAAGGGTGAACCTCTCGGTCCTTCTCACTCAACCCCGGCCTGCAAAATCCGGGAATCTCCTTTGCTGTCCCCCCCCGCCCCCAACACCACTATCCTTCCCCCCCCCTCATGGCTGTGAACGTCTACAAAGACACAAGGCTGCTACACATCTCCAATGGCTACATGCAGGCTATTCAAAACTACGAGGGATGGTTTGCCAGAGGTAAAACCACATCCCTCCGAGAAGCATGCGCTATGCGTCAAAGCTGGTTACTCTCTAGACAGGGAGGGGGGAAAAAATACAACGCCCAAGCTACGGATTTGCCATCCAACAAGACCACTGTTTTAACGGTCACGCCATAGATGCTACGGGCCAGACCACACATATATACAGCATATCTACAGCTTACAAAATGAGGCGGGGGCGAGGGGGAGAGAGAGAGACAGAGGGGGGAGGAGGGAAATGAGAACAAAAGGTATTGTTTTGCAAGATTTTTCCCTCCCTCCCAATTTTTCGCATTATTATTATTATTATTTTACATCTAGGGTGGAGGGTTTTAAACTGTCAACATGACTGTCAAAAGGTTCTGAAAAACTTTCTTAAAACTTTGCACCGGGGTGATGAATAAAGAAAGTGGACCTCCAGATTCTTACATGGCTGAAGGTAATATATATATATATATATATATATATATA